AGAGAGAAAGGGGAGCTGGTTTTTGGAGGAAAAATCGATTCCCTCTCTAAGGTTTCGCCCAAAAACACCAAAGGGGAGTTCTAATGAGAAAGAGAGAGAGAGTTGTAATCCCTCTCTTCTCTTTCTAGAAACTCACCTTCTTCTCTTGGGTTTTAAAACCCCTAGGTCTAGATTTGGGTTTAATGTTGATGTATGTGACACATTCCATGTTTTTTTTATGATTCTACTTGATTGATGGATGTTTTCATGAATTACATGAGTTGGGTTTCCATTTTCATGTCTTGAGCTTTTAACCTAGGAGAGAGATAATCCCCTTAGTGCCCCCTTCTGGCGACTTCGGGTCACTCCTATCGTATATTCACCAGGTAGGACCCGAGGGAGTTGACTCGATCCACCTCCTAGCAATATACGATACCCTAGATTGAATAGAGAACCTACCCATCCACCGATTTGCCATTCCGGGTCATTCCCGAGGGAGTCCTTCTCTAAACGGTAAAGTAATTGAGTGGATCGAGCTAGGAGGATACTCAACATCGATCCAAAGGTTGGAAATAGGGGGATTTAACCCAAGAGAGCTCCAAACCATGTAAATACCTAGGTTAGTTGTTAGTCTGGGTTAGTTAGCTTAGTTTTATTAATCACTATCCTAGGATTGGCCAGAAAATGAACCCTAAACCTGAAGTAGGGTAAGCCTAGATCCCCGAGGTACGATAAATTCTTATTGCTTGCTTTCCCTATGCTACACCCGGTCAGCGGTTATACTTGGCCCTCGATTGGGATGTTGTAGTTAGAACTCACCTCCTAATGCACCTCTCAATCATCATAGGACGCACATGATCACATGCAACAATTAAAGGTCAATGCCAATAACCACAAGATTCTCTTACAAACCGGCCACTTTAATCATGCAAACATTGCTTGGATCCCTCAAAATTTTCAAATTTAGGCATACATCAAGGTTCCAAACATCAATCACAAAAGCATAATAATAAACTACCCCCCCCCCCCACACACACACACTTATGCTCGACATTGCCCTCAATGGCGAAACATAGGGGTAGAACGACGTTACTGCTTTGCTTGGTGAGTGAAAGTTGTAATTGTTTCCGGGGTAGGAGATTTTGAGCTTCAAGGAGAAGAAAAAAAAACATGCATACACAAACACAATACGACTCTCTTAAGGCGAGATTATTACACAACACAAAACGATAGTAGTAGTAGGACAAACTTGCTAACCTTCGTTGGGTTGCCTCCCAACAAGGGCTATTTAACGTTGTTAGCTAGATGGAGACTCCGGATAAGAAATCTTGTAGGAACACCACCTCTATTTGAGGCATTACCTCTCCTCTAAGGTAACGTTTGAGGCGGTGTCCATTCACTTTAAAAGTTCCTTTCTCTGGATGGGAGATCTCTACCACCCCGTATGGGAACACTTGCGTTACCACATACGGGGCTGACCAGTTCGATCTTAACTTCCCGGGAAACAATCGCAACCGAGATTTGTATAAGAGTACTTGGTCTCCCGGTTGGAAGTCCTTCCCTCCTTTCAGCCGAGCATCATGCAGTCGCTTCTTCTTTTCCTTGTAAATTTTGGTGTTCTCATAGGCTTGAAGACGCCACTCCTCGAGTTCAAGCACCTGCAACTTTCGTTCATTTCCACAGATAATAGGGTCCATATTTAATAGCTTTGTGGCCCAGAAAGCCTTGTACTCTAGCTCTACAGGAAAGTGGCAAGCCTTTCCATACACCAATTGGTAAGGCAAGACGCCTATTGGGGTTTTGTAGGCCGTGCGGTACGCCCATTGAGCATCATCGAGTTTTGCTCACCAATCATTGTGGGATTAGTCCACGGTCTTTTCTAGTATACTTTTCAGTTCCCTATTTGGTAACTCAACTTGCCCACTAGTCTGGGGATGATAGGCCATTGACTTTTTGTTTTCAAATCAAATACAAATAGGTCATTTATTACAATTTATTGAAACACCCCGTGGGTAACACCATAGAGATCGAGGAGTCTGTCGAATTTCCCCTGGAAATGGGTTCCTCGGTCACTAATAATGATCCTCGAGGTCCCGAATCTTGAAAACAACTTTTTAAGGAATACGCAGACTCGTCTTGCATCATTGGCGGTCAAATCGGATTACGGGTTCATCGGGTTTTGGGTCGGGCGAGTTGCGGGTGAATCTGGTAGCGGGTTGTTCGGGTCAGCGCATCGAGTAACTTACTCTTTACTCGTTAGTCGTTACCAACTTACACATTTTATTACACTAATTTAAAATGTTTTTCTAAATTTTTAACCAATTTCTTTCTACCTTGTGTATATACTTAATTTTAAAAAAACTAGTCAAAATGTTGAATCAATTTATATAACTTGCAAACTTGTTATGTAATTAATCGTAATTGATAAAGTACACTAGCTAATAGGAATGGTTATATCAACATTTGTAACCAAAAGACACCGTTAATTATTTATTTGGTATTTAATATTATTTTAGTAGTAATTGGATTAAAGTATCTCATTTAGTATAACCATGCAAATATGATATTTGGCATGCGGTATTTGGCAAAAGTAGAGTGGTAAAAGGAGTTATTTCGTAATAACTCATTGCCCTAATAACTTCAGTAAACTGTTGTCAAATGAGTTATTTGTAAAATAGTTCGAATTACCCAAAAAATTGAACCATTAAAGATTAACTATAAAATTTAGTAAAATTATTGCGACTTCAATCATAACTTACTCAATAACATATATCCTATACACTTAACCTTACTCCCAATCGACAATATTAAGTTAATATATGTTGTTGATGGTATACCCTAAACCATCAATATATTATACACTAACAACATACCCCATACCCTGACCATATATCCCTATGAGTTATGAATTTGCTAGTATAGTTAATTTAAAGTGAAATTCATACTTTGATTTTCGAAACATAGATAAAAAAGTGATATTTGCTATACCCTAACCATATACCCTATACTCTACACCAAATACCTTGTACGCTAACCACGTACCATAAACATAAATTAGAAAGGGATCTCCTCCCGTTAAAGATTTTATATGACTTCAACTGAACATATGTTAATAAAAAACTTAGAAACGTCAAAACCATCAATACCTTATACCCTAACCATATACACTCTAAACCATTTGTACCTTATACCTTATACCCTAACCATATACTTTATACCCTAAACAACGAATCGTCAAAAATTCCTTATCAAGTTTAACATAATTGTTGGCTCATATTCACCCGCCCATAAATTTTCTATTCCAAAGTTCCCATTCAAAACTCTCTCTTATTTTCCATTCCAAAGTGACCTTCAACTCGATTAAACAAAATTTATAAACCCACAACCCGACTGAGTTATTGCAATCGTAAGACTTAGCATGCCAAGTTTAACACCCATTTTGAAATGAAAGTTCAACTTGAACATAACTTAAATGGGCGAAAATTTTACTAAGTGTTGTAAAATAACGATAATGTGTGTTGAAATTGCAATAAATGTAGAAGCATAGAAAACAAATAGACAAATTAAGTGAATTTTTCTAAAATAAATGATTGTTGTAACCACCATTGTTTTCTTCTTTCTTTTGCACAAAAAAATTATAATACTAAAATTCCCCTCCTTCTTTATCCTTCCATATATTAGAAACACTTAATTTTCTCTCCTTTTTCTCTTCCATAAAATTGAAAGTTTCAAATTTCCCCCATCTTCCTCTTCCATTAGAAGAACCAAATTTCCCTCTTCCTTCCTTCCTTCCTTCCTTCCTTCCTTCCACAAAAATTTGAAAACTCAAAATTTCCCTTCTTATTTCTCTTTCATAATCAAAAGAACCAAACTTTTTCACTTCTTCACTTCCACAAATCAAAACCACCAAATTTTCCCCTTTTTCCTTTTTAAAAAAGTCAAAAAATCTAATTTCCTTCTTCTTTCTCTTCCCAAAAAAGTTGAATACACAAAATTTTACTATTCTTTTAAAAACATCAAATTACCAAATACATTTCTTTACCTTATTTATATTTAATTGATAACATTATTAAATAGTTAAATTAACCAAAATTTTAATATTATATTATATTAATATTGTCCATCATCTCAATTATTAATTATTCATTATTAATATTCACATTGTGCTGATTTTATATTTCTTATTTAGTTTTTAATTTTGTTAAAGAACTTAGTGTTCAAGTGACCTTCATGTTTCAATTTTTGTAATTTTCTATAAAATACATAATATCAAGTGAGTTTCATATTTTTAAATTTACTCTACGAAATGAAAAAATAATTTTACCTAAGTTTAGAATAAAAAACTTTATTTTGAAAAACTATGTATTATATAATATAATTATCATTCAAGTGGATTAAGTGAAGTTCGGGTTGCGGGTTAGTCGGGTTCAGGTCAATCGGGTTGCGGGTTAATCGATTCGGGTTAATCTAGTTGGGGATCTCTCGGGTTGCGTGTTAGTCGGGTTGCGGGTCAATCGGATTGCAGGTCGAGCGGGTTAAGGTTTGTTGACTTATAGTCAATTCGAGTTGCGATCGGGTTGCGGATCGAATTGATCGGATGGGTTTATTGGATCTGATTGATCGGACAGGTTAATCGAGTCGGGTTATGTTTTGACACCTAGGAAAGAAACAAAACTAACTCAAGTATGCTTAAAAAGAGTTTAGAAAAAGTAAAGTTGCGGGAAATAAATAATTTTTTATCAATATAAAGGTTCATCATGGAAGGTGAGTAGTGTGTTTAAAGAGAGGGTCAATGGCCCCGTAATCATAATTAATCACTGTCACCGGAAAGAAGGATTCTATACATAGTCAATCAACCAAACAGTTTTCTTTGTACAAACTCTTTTATTACTGGGTAGGAATTAGGTTATACTGTTTTTGTCTACCATGCATGCATGCAACAACAGGATTATCTTCATACCATACGCATGTATTGATCTTTAGTTTATCCAATTAACACAAGCCCATCAAAATTCATCACATCTTATCATCTGAAATTATTGTTTCGAGAATTGGACGAATAATAATGCATGGTGATCATAAAAGAAATAACATCAATTGTGACAAGACCACTCCAATTTGCATAAAGCTATATATCATGATGCAACGGAAAACACTACTGAAACTAGTGACACACAACAACACTGACACACGAAATAGTACCGACACATTTGACACCTTTTCTCTTCCCCCCAATCACTTCCTCAACCATTTGTCTTTCTCACAATTTTATTCACTAGAAAAGGGGCCGTGGGATGGGAGCTTATAGCTAAGAAAGCTCTCATGACCCGTCTCCCTCCTCCTAATCACTATCACATTTTTTAGGTGACGTGCTGGACAAGAAATAAAGGAAAGAAAGAAAGCCTTTCTTTCCCAACAACAACAACAACACTTCTTTCAATGACGTGGCAGCGAACTGGCGGGTTACACGTGGCCCTCCTCTTTGTGAACTTGAGATAGTTCATCTTCTTGGTTACATTTCGGCTGTTTCTTGGCCTTGTAGCCTCCATACAAGTGAGACGCGAACCCCCAGAGGCACAGCGCCAACGCCATTCCCTTCTCCGCGTTGAACCCTTCCCTTAAGGTAATGACCGCGAAAACCTGTTGAACGGGGACTAACAGTGCCGTGATGATGCCGGCGAAGAGAGAAGACGAGCTCAACACCACTCCAAGGCTCCCAATGATCATTATCTGCAGCGCCACTGTTGCCAGGATCAGGATCATGTAGTACTTCCCTTCCCCCAGCCCGAATTGGGCTGCCTCTTCGCCCAGTGTCTACACACAAGTTGGTTTGTTTCACAACTTGATCAGTTTTGGTGTCTTCCATTGATTATACAAAGTCCTAATTAAACATAATTAAAATGAAAATGGGTTTTTTTCACTCAACTTGCAAAAAAGTTTCTTTAAAAAAAAAATTAAAGATGATAAAGTTAAAGCAAAAACACTAATTCTATCCGATTTTTAATTAACTGTTCATGACTGGGCCTAAGAATCATTATATATAAAAACAAATTAAATAAAGCAGATTTTTTTTAGAATATTTTCCCTTCTAAAAAATAATGGTATACAGGAGATGAGCTGTTATTACTTTAGGATGAATTGGGCTGGTTTCTGCAGCTTGGATTGCGTCAGGTGACTATTGCACCAATGTAATTATTGACAGAGCTCATATGAGTTCGGTTACTGGAATTTTACAATGTTTTATAGTATTGGTGCTGTAGGTGTTTACCTTTATGATACAATTTGAAATTGTACTTTTAATATTATGATACAATTTCAGATTGTACCTATACTTTTTGTACAAATTTTTTTATGGTACAAATTAAACTTGTACCTTATGTGATGGTACAACTTTAAGTTGTACCATAACATAATGATACAAATTCCTTTATGGTACAACCTAAACTTATACATTTAATGTTATGGTACAACTTCAAGTTGTACATTAAAGCACCAATACTATATAGCATAGTATAAGTGCTCATGCTAGAGTCGGCGCCATTTTCAACGAAATTGCATAACTACGCGCGGATTGTCCTGAAGTGAATTTTAATGTTATTGGTAGATATAGTAATAGTTTGGTGGTTACTGGTTAGGAAGACCCTTCTTGTATTATACTAGTTTGGCTTGTTTCGATTTTCATAGTTTGCTCTTGGTTGCTATGTAAACTTTGGTGATCTATAGTATCTGTAATCCTGGATATCTTTTGAAAAAAAAAAAGATCAATTTTAAAATTTTACACATAACCATCTTTCTAAAAAAAGACCAATTTATTATTTATTAAGCCAGCTATCAACCATTTATCAACTAATTATTTATGGCTAAAAATTATCTTATCTCTCACCAATTCAAGCTTTGTAAAACGTTCTTCTAATTACTTATAAAAAAATAGAACACGATCTTGTTAGTTTAATATAAAACCTTACCAAGATATTCTTTGGAAAAAGTTACACGAAACGCACCCAGTTTATTCTACTTTAATTTTTTTTTTAAAATATTTTTTATAGGTTATTAAGGAGAAGTAATCCACCCTAAATTAAAAACTCTATATCACTAGACCAAAAGTACGGACCACCGTACAACTAACTCAAGCCCTCGTAATATTGATTTTGAGGAAAGAACCACCGTAAATAGTATACAGAAACTATATATATGACTCGTTCAACAATCATAAGAAAAAAAAAAGAAAATTGAATACTCATTTGAGTTTTTAATTGCATAAAACAAGAAATCCCAAAAGCTTATGTGTTTTAACTTTAAGAAGGTAAATTCGAGTGACAAAAAGAACCAACAATAATACCCATGTAAATATGCGTTTTGTCGTTTTCCAACCGTTCAAGAAAGTAAAAGGAAAAAAATAAAAATAAAAACAGTAATGAATTGAACCTCTAGCTAGCATGCAAACGTAGTAGTAGTAGTAAATACGTATTAATATACCTCAAAGTCCTTATTGATGATCATGGGGAGGGTACAGAACAAAGTGGATGACATGGATATAACGAACTGAACTTGCATCACGATGTCGAAGGTGATGGGGACACCGGCTTTGTTCTGCGTGTACTCCAGCAATGTCATGAACAGCCCGTGAAAGCAGGCCGCGCCAATGGTCATGAAGAACCCTAATACGTACTTGGTCAGCGGCTCCCCCTTGGGGACGTCTTTGTCCATGTGGAATCCCAGGATGATGGACCCAAACGTCATCAACACGACCGCGTTTATGGAGTAGTGGGTGAACCTCTGCCTCACGATGATGAAGGCGAAGACGGCGGTGAAGGCGAGCTGGGAGGAGCTGACGAGGGAATTCACGGAGACGGGGAGGAAGGCGGTTCCGAAGGAATAGAGGTAACTGTTGAAGCCCAGAACGAGGCCCAACAGCAAGCTGGCGCAGAACAGCCACCTGGTGAGGAAGAAGCGGCTGCCCTTGGGCCTGCTGGACTTGGCGGCCTGGTACGATATGGCGATGGGGAAGATCAAGATTGGGAAGCCCGCGGTGACGGTCCAAGCGGAGAGCCACCGCTTTTTGCCGCCGTGGAGGAAGTACATACGGGAAAGCAACGGGCCCGCCACCTGGCCGACTGTGAGCAACACGCAGTTCAAGAGCAAGAGGAATAGCTTGATGTGGTTTGGCTTCTTTGCGGGTTGATGGGGCTTTGCTTCTTCTGCGTTAATGCTCATTTTGGTTGCTTGCTCCGCTTCCATATCCAATATTGGAACTATAGAAAGATAGGGAGTGACTACCGAGCGAGTGGGTTCTAGCTAGTTTGGGGAGACAGGCAGGTTTAGGTATATAGATAGCTATTGAGTGCGGCCAGGAGTATGTTTATATAGTGTGGTGGTGGCTTTTTGGAGTTGGGACACTTGGCTTCCAATTACCACAACTTGTCAACAATCAATTACGATATGATATTATATCTCCTCCAATTATATATTTTGGCAGCTTTGATTTGTGTGATTAAAGTGAGGGGGAAAAGGAGAAGATAGCTTTGATTCGATCGATTATAGTTACACCAGCAGTCGATAATAGACTACAAAGTACCGAGCTTGGATGGTGTATTTTAGGTCACGGTCGTCGATAAATGCCTCGACTGTGATTAGCAGGACGTGCGGAGACAGGGTTTAAATTTTACTCGTCGATAAATAACACCTTCTTTAACACTTTTGAAAATGATTTTAAATTATCTTGCCCAATTTGAATGCTGGTTGGAATGGAGTGTAGTGATCTCTAATTACAAGTCTAAATACTTTAGGGATCACTTTGTATTTTTTTTTCCTTCTCTCCACGTTGCATGTATAGGAGAGTTAGGGTAGTTTATTTACATGTCTGGAACAGCAGCCGAAACCTAAGAACAATAAGGGAGAAATGAGATTTTCAGTCTGAGAACGTCAAACTCTCCGTGGAGTAGTCCCGTTCACATACAACGGGGAATTCACGTAAATCTCGTGTCGTGTTTATTCGATTTCATTCTATTAATCAAAGTTTACATGATATTAGAGCTGGTCTGATCTGGCCTAGTTTTTCACTATGTCTGACGACGAGCAACCTAAGACGTCGGAGTCGAAATCACCTTCTTCTTCAACAGTCCGACGGCCCCACTCATTCTTATGTGGGCGAATTACTTAGTGATGTTAATTATGGTGAGTGGGTAGTGGATTTTACCGACTTGCTCATCGCAACGAACAAGTTATGTTTCGTGGATGGAAGCCTCCCTGTGGCTCAATCTCAAGCTGAAACCGAGCCGTGGAGGTAGTGCAACACCATGTTCAAGGGCTGGCTGAAAACCTCCATGATGAAAGAAGTTCGCAGCAACATGCAATTCGCATCCACTGAGCGCGAAATGTAGGTCGATCTGTAGTCGTGATTTGGTCACAATAACGTGTCGTGCCTGTATGAGCTCTAGTGGATGATAATTTCTCTTCAGCAGGAGAAGGCATCTGTTTCAGTGTTCTATACAAAGCTGCGAGGACTATGGGACGAGATTTAGTCTGTCACACCTTCACTGGACTGCATGTGTTCCGGATGCAGCTGCGACGTGAAACGCCGCCAAAACGAGGTACGTGAAAGTGAAAGGCTTTTCGATTTTCTAATAGGGTTGGATGATGCCTTTTCCACAACCAAGTCACAAATTCTCCCAATGAAACCAATGCCTAGTCTTGGAGAAGCATATCAGTTGGTGATGAATGATGCTCAACATCGACAAATCTCTAGCAATCGTCGGCCTAGACTACAAGCTGCAGCCTTCCAAGCAGAGAGAGCGACGCCAAGATTGTTCTGAGCATCCATCTCCTCGTCAGGAACGTGGCCCGAACGATAGACCCCGTTTTTCACACTGTCGCCGTCATGTTCATACCAAGGAAACATGCTATCAACTTGTTGGTTATCCACCGCGTGGGAACAGCCGGAAAGATGCTCCTCCTTGCGACGATGGGGCTTCACGTCCTACACCATAAGCAACACAAGTGGATGCCTCAACGAGCCCGCTGCCAGGACTTACCATGACTCAATTTTCTACTCTGAAGGCACTATTAGGGTCGGATCTATCACACCCTACTTTAGCTTCAATCAAGCCCTCCTCGAACATGGCCGGTACATTTCCTTCTTAACTTGTTAAATCTGCAACATGGGTTATAGACTGTGCGGCAGTCACTTGATGTTTCAGAGATATGGCATTCTCGGCTTGGACATCCTTCTTTGGCGAAGATGAATTTGTTGCAGAATTCGCTTGGTTGTTCTTTTATTCACACTTCAGACTCTTGTCGATCTTGTTTGCGTGCTAAGCAAACTAGAGATATTTTTGTTCCAATACTATCAAATCCACATCGTGTTTTGAACTGATCCACATGGATATTTGAGGTGGTTATAAGACAACTTCAACCTCTCGAGCTCATTATTTCTTAACTAAATATTGATGATTATAGTTTTGCAGTATGTGTGTTTTTTATGAAATATAAGTCGGATGTTGGTCGATATTTACTGTATTTCTGCAGTATGATTGCCACACACTTTGGAGGCCAGGTACGACACATATAAGCTGATGATGGACCTGAGTTTGCCTGTAATTCGTTGTCAAGTACTATGAAGAAAAATGCATCATTTTGCAAACTTCCTGCACCGATACTCCACAGCAGAATGGCATTGTAGAACGCAAACACCAACATTTATTGGACACTGCGCAAGCTCTACGGTTCCATTCAAATCTACCGATTAAGTTCTGGGGAGAATGTGTTCTCACGATAGTCTACTTGATTAACAGGATGCCTTTGGTTTCCATCGGAAACAAAACTCCATATCATATTTTGTTCGGAAAGGATTCTCCATACAACCATCTTTGTAAGTTTGGTTGTCTTGTTTATGCTCGTTATAAGCATCACGGCCTACATAAGATTGGCGAAAGGGGGAGAGCAGGCATTTTCCTTGATTACCCGTATGGACAGCGAGGTTATTGAGTATATGTTCTTGAGAAGAATCAGATTTATACCGCTCGGGATGTGAAATTTCTCAAGCACATCTATTCTTACCATAACCTCGACGAAACGAAGCTCAACGCCACTGTTGTTTCGACCCCTTATTTCATGGCTCCTTCCCATGCAGCCAGGCGTAGAGGTTGATCAGTTGTAGGTTGCTACTTAGCCAGCTGGGGTTGACACTCCTCTTGCTTTCGATAGGTCTCTATGCACGTCCATGGAGCCTACTTCACCATCGTCTCCTCCTAGCAAATCGCATTCGCAGTCAGCCACCTCCTTGCCTCCTCCCACGACGGATAATGCCTCTTCTTTGGCTTTTTCAGAGCCACCACTTCCACGTTGTAGTGACCAATTTCGATACCCATCCACGAGGCTCGTAGACTATGGCGTGGACCTACCCGAGGTTGCTCATCTCGCCACTGCCTTATATCCCCTTGATGATTATCTCAATTATCATCGACTTTCTATTACTCACCATGCCTTTGTTGGTGCAGTCATCGTCGTCGACGAACTTAGGTACTTCTTCCAGGTCGTCAGTGATAAGCAATGGCGTGACACTATGCAACTTGAGATTTCAGCTTTAGAAGCTAATGTCACATGGACCTTAGTTTAATTACCTCTGAGCAAGAAAGCCATTGACTTCAAGTGGGTTTACAAGATCAAATTCAATCTAGATGGATCCATTGAGCGCTTTAAGGCGCGTCTCGTTGCCAAAGTCTTCACCTAGATCGAAGGGGTTGACTACCATGATATTTATACTCTGGTTGCCAAGCTGGTCACTGGTTGATGTCTCCTTGCCGTTTCTATCACTCGAGGTTGGCATATTCACTAGCTGGACGTAAATAATGCCTTTTTGCATGGCGATTTACAGAAAGAGGTTTACATGACCATTCCGCAGGGCTTCTCGCGTCCCGAGGACACAAAGGTATATCGTTTGAACAAGTCCATCTATGGTCTACGTCAAGCCCCACGCAATTGGTATTAGAATTTCACCCATGCATTACTCGAGTACCAGTTTGTCCAGAGTCGAGCCGATCATGCCTTGTTAATATATCAGCGCGATTATGTGTTCTTCACTGCCCTCAAATATGTTGACGATGTTATTGTTGCAGTGAATGATCTCACATTCATTCAGCAGGTCAAAATTTTTCTTCATGATCGGTTCACTATCAAAGATCTGGTTCCACTATAGTATTTCCTTGGGATTGAGGTTGCCTGCTCTCCTAGGGAATGGTTCTCAATCAGCAGAAGTACGTGTTAGACATTCTCATTGCTGCATGTTTGGTTGTAACTCGTCCTTGCTCAACTCCGATTGAGAAACAACATCGTCTAGGCCATGATCCTTCTTCTTCAGCACGTGATCCTACAACATACCGATGGCTAGTTGGGCGTTTATTGTATTTGACAGTCACCCACCGTGACATCGTTTATGCAGTCAACCTTCTCAGTCAGGCTATGGAGTCTCCTACTAATGCTCACGAGGACGCAACCATTCGTGTTCTCCGCTATCTAAAAGGGTCTCCTGGTCGTGGTATATTCCTATCTGCTACTTCTCCTCTTGCGTTGACTGGTTTCTTCATCACTCTTGGTGGTTCCCCTATTTCATAAAGCACCAAGAAGCAGACAGCTTTTCCGCATTCTTCCATAGAGGCTGAGTACCGAGCAATGAATAGCAATATTAGTGAGTTCATTGGCTACATTGGCTTGTTCGTGATCTTGGTGTTACGTCTCCTGGTCCCACCGTGTTATACTTCGATAACTAGGCTAAACTTCACATTGCGGCTAATCCAGTCTAACACGAACGCACCAAACACGTCGAGATGGACTACTACTTTGTCAGATAACGTGCTCAATCACGTGAGATTGCTCCTGCCAAAATTGCTACTTCCGACCAGCTTGCCGATTTGTTCACGAAAGGGTTGTGTTGATCAGTTTCATCATCTTTTCGTCAAGCTCGGACTCATTGACATTCACTCCTTCTCTTTAGAGGGATTTTAGTGATCTAATAAGGGAGAAATGAGATTTTAACCCGAGAGCCTCAAGCTCTAATAAGGGATTTTAGTCCCGTTCGCATCGAATGGGGAAACCACGTAAATCTCATGTCGAGTTCATTCGATTTCATTCTATTCACCGAATTATACATGAAGAAATATTAGCTAATAAAAAAATAACCATTCTTAGCTCTTATGCATTGTTGTTTCACGTGCTACATTTTTCAAATACGATTATTAATTCATTCGTGATTTCAGAAGTCCTAAGAAGTTTTGTATGTAATTTTAAAATTCTAAGGAGGTATTC